GGAAAATCTAAAAATTAAAAAAATGGGGGTTTATAGATGAAGAGACGTCCCCCTAGAAATCAAAATTGACGTGTCTGAGCAGATTTCCCAAAATATACCAGGAGAGTTACAAATGGGGCTGCGAACTTTTCGTTGGACCACCCTGTATGTCAGGAAAGTCGATAAACACGTACGCAGGAATCTTAATGACTTCAAGAAGCTATACAGTAATGGACAAAAGTCTATAGACAAATTAATATTGTGCTGTATTTCTTTTTTAACTTGTTTTATTAATACACCAACCTGTATACATAACTCGTTATAGCATAATACATAAATACATTCATTAGACTCCCTTCAATAAAAAATTAATTGAAAAAAACTGGAACTATGAAGGACCAAAACATATAGACAAAGCAAAACAATTATAGAAAAAAGAAGCAAAGTTCATTGAATTATAGAAAACCAACCATGTTTGTGTTAATATTTTGTAGCATAACCATTCACCGCCTGGCATCGTCTCGGCATAGATTGTACAAGTTTCTTGATATAAGATTCATCAATTTTTGCTCTAAAGCGGCAAAAAGTTCATCCTTGTTTGAATAATTTTTATCTTGTATTTGCTTATCTAAGTATTCCCATAGATTTTCAATGGGGTTTATATCGGGAGACTGTGGAGGCCATTTGAGAACTGATATTTTTTCATCCAGAAAGAATTTCTTTGCGAGATTTAAAGTGTGCTTCGGGTGATTATCTTACTGGAAGATTGATCAAAGTGCATATTGTCTTCCATATAGGGTAACATGACATGCTTTAGTATGTCGGCGTATACAAACTTATCCATAATGCCATCTATTCTACGTAAACGTCCCATTCCAAACCCCGAAAAGCACCCCACACTTAGGGTTCAATCTTTGTCCAGTAGGACGTCTAACGTAATGAACACCAACTGATCCAAACATATTGAACTTGGATTCGTCACCGAAACATACCCTCTTCCAGTCACAGATGCTCCAATCAAGATGCAACCGTGCAAATTGTAATCGGTCCATTTAATCTTCTACTTATAGTTTTTGTAGAAACACTGACAATTCGTTTTGTCTCGATTTCGGCTTTTATTTGTCTTGGGGTTTTAAACGGATCTTTGGACGAAATTACTTTTATTAATCTAACTGATCTAGCATTTAGTTTTTCAGGCCGACCACTTCTCTTAGAGGCTTCCAAGATACCGTTTTGTTTATATTTATTCAATATTGCCCAAACTGCTTTACGATTAAGCTTGAAATTTTTGGTAATGTCGACTTGAAGTTGACCATCTTTGTATAATTCAATGATCTTAGTTTTTACATCGAAAGAAATTTCTGGACCACGCGGCATGGTCTTAAAATCGCTCAACTTATTCCACAATACTTGATGAACACAAATTAATCCTCTTCTGACACGAAACTGTACTAATGTTGAAAAGAATTTGTCTACTTGTGTATCTAACGAAGCTACAAAGTAATCGTAAACAGTGGTTGATTCGTGATCAACGCGTGATCGGTAGCCATGGCGCTCTGTCGGCCTCTTCCTGATTGGCTTGTAGCGACGAGCCTCCAGACAAAGTCGCACGGTTGCCAAGCTCGGCGAGTTTTCGCCAGAGTGGTTGATCACATTGGCATGGATCACAAATCAATCTGTTGGTGCAATACGTGCAATAACTGTTGTAAAGGACATTATATAACAATAAATGGCATCACAAAGGTATATTCCAATTTGATCTGCAGCAAATTATGAACGGCATATACGGAGATGCGAAAACAAGCTCAAAAAGGTGAAGAAAATTTTTGTGCAATCTTTATAGTTAAATTTTTCCTAAGAGATAGCATCAGTGAGGGAATTTTTTTCTATTGTCTTATTTTTCACATTAATGCGATGTCGAGGTATGTGGCCCTATCGCAATTGAAAATAAGGTTTCGATAATCCTTCCATAAAGTTTCGATGAGTACATCTGAAATAACCTTGAGATATTCTTCAGGGAAATAAAAAAATCTCCTTTTGTGTTTTTTTGTGCAGATTTATCTATTAAAATCCTATCCGCAATCTATTTTCCGTGCACACACCTTCAACCGAATGTATGCCATATATGATATTACCGTTTCCAACTTTCACCAAGGTTAATAGGAACCATAACAGCTCCCTACCCTTACCCCCTATAAGAATATCGATTTGTAGCCTCGCATTTCAAGGTTAGACTCCTTGTAATGTTTCTGTTCAACATTCGGCGATTTCTGACAATTTTCCCAATAAAACATGATCATTGTGACATTAAGCCTGGCAACGCTGCATAGTAGAGGGAACTCTCAGCGTCACGTTGATGGTTCGTCACCACGCACAGGATTGTAATCAGTTACGGATACCCGTTTATGAGCGCGAACGTTTTATGCACGTCTTGACTTGATTTTTCTTGCGGAAATTTAATATTAGTCTAAAATGTCTGCTGACACAGATACAGCTGATGAAGTGGTTGAAATCAGCTTAACGCCACCCAGAAAAAGGGCTAAAAAGCTTCATCTTAGCGCAGGTGAAAAACAAATTATTCTAAATATCTACAAGAACCAGATGCAAGAGAATAGTGGATTGGCTATAGAAAATATCGTATGTAAGGTTGCTGAAATTTCTGGAGTAGGTCGATCAAGTGTTTACAAAATCTTGAAGGAATATAGACAAAATCACTCACTATCTGAGCCAAAAACATATCCAGCGAGAAAAAAAATCATCGAAAAAATAGATGACTTTGACAAAAGTGCCATTAGAAGAAAAGTACATCACTTTTTCTTCAGGAATGAAATACCTACAATAGATAAAATATTGAAGCAAGTGAATGATGATGAGGACCTGCCAAATTTTAAAAGATCTACGTTCCATAAGCTGTTGAAAGAACTAGACTTTCGATTTTTGAAAAGAGGAAGGAATAGTTTATTGATAGAAAAGGAGGAAATTGTTATCTGGAGGAGAGAATACCTTAGAAAAATTAGGCAATTCCGCGCTGAAGGAAGAAAAATTTATTATTTAGACGAAACATGGGTGAACGCGGGGCATACGCAGGGAAAGGTTTGGGTAGACAGATCTGTGAGGTCCTCAAGGCAGGCTTTTTTAGATGGCCTTTCGACGGGATTGAAAAATCATGCAGGTAAGTTTCGAAGTATATGAACTTTTTTGGATGCAGATAATTCATTTTCTGATCGAATCAATGATTTGGAAGCTCCGAACTCAGTTTTGCTATCTCATCCAAGTTTCTGAGTATTTCCTTCACCCAAAAACTAATCTAAGACCCTATCCTACACTAACCTAAAAAGAGTAAGTTGCTTAATTTCGTCATTTAGTGCGCTCGCTGAGAAGTAAAATAACTAATTACTTTCAGGCAAGGGAAAACGCCTGATCATTTGCCACATATGTAGCGTAGATGGATTTGTTCCTGAAGCATTGTGGGCATTTGAATCCAAAAAAACTGGAGACTATCACGAAGAAATGGATGGTAACTCATTTGAAAATTGGTTCAAAAAAATTTTACCGACACTTGATGATAACGCAATTATTGTGATGGATAATGCCCCGTACCACTCCAGAAAATTGGAAAAAATTCCAACAATGGCCACCAAAAAGGCAGACATTCAACAGTGGCTTGTCTCAAAGAAGATCAACTTCGACCAAACAATGGTCAAAGCTGAGCTGATAAATATAGTCAAGCGACATAAGTATAAATATGATTTAAAAATTGTTGACGAAATGGCCAAAAACCAAAATAAAACGATTCTCAGGCTGCCTCCCTATCACTGCGAACTGAATCCTATCGAGTTGATTTGGGCCGACATCAAGCAATACGTGGCGTCAAATAACAGCACTTTTAAGTTTTCTGACCTTAAAACACTGTTTGATGTTGCTGTCGATAGAATTACGCCAGCAAAATGGAGAACATGTATTGACCATGTCCAAGAGAAGGTTGAAACCAAAATGTGGGATATGGACAATATCATTGACACCCAAGTTGAACCCCTTATAATTGACATCAACAATTCTGATGATTCAAGCTCCTCGGGATACAGCATATAAATCGATTGATACCATTAAGACTGGCAGTTTAACGGGCTTTTTAGCAAGACAGGTAAGTTCATTATAGACTGCAATCAAAGTGTAAGTTTCTAGTTATTAATGTGGAAATTCCAAATTTATAATTACACAAAATTAGGGTTAATTTAGGAGTTCCAAAGCATAATAGTGCCATTTTGACCTTCTTCCTATTTCTCATGTAAATTTTAATAGCAATCAAACTAACAAACTTTATGGAGTCTGTAATAAACTTTTGTACTACTACTACTACGTCTGTAGTTTCTATTTGCTCAAGAAAATTTGCTCTGCATTGTGAATAGAAGGTTGATTTGTAAATATTATTGGGTATATATGTAAGTTAATAATAAAATATGAACAATTTCAATTGAGATGGTCCACAAGTTTTTTTCGTGTGCGTTTTAGTAACATTTTGCTGAAATGGTGAATACAGAATTTTTTGCAGTGATTCCTAATGTCGAAATATGATTAGAAAGGCGTGGTATATTCCTGATAATTTACTATGCTTTTGATAGAATTTACAGCAACACATATCTTGTACGACATTTTTTGATAGATCAGTCACAATAGCTTGATACGGCCCTGTAGCGTCTCCTACGGTTAAGTTCTTGATCACGTGCAATACGGGTGTATATGTTTGATTTTACTTTGTTTCTTCGATGGATACAGAGTACATATTTTTGTCCCTCATAAAAAAGTGCTTATATTCAGACTTGTATTGTGTTCATTGCAGATAATGTAAAAACAAGCAATTTACTTTTCGTACTAATAACGCATTTGTTTATGGAGCAATGAAGTATGAATTCGTTTTCTAAAGGTATTTAGGTAAATAATCATAATTGTCTATATACTTTTGTCCATTACTGTACATACACAATAGGTGCTCTTTACGAAAGTTCAAATGAGCTTCTTACCTTTAGAGCGCCGTGCTTAGGATTCTTTCTGAATGCAAAATTCCAGGCTTGTATGAGTTCTAACAGCTTTGTGCGAACATTCTCGTGAACAGTTGTTTTTGCTAAATCATGCAGAAAATCACAGAAAGCTTTTGCTGTCAATTCCTCGTGGACAACAGGACCTGAAAAAAAAGCCTGATCATACACTGTTCATGCACGTTAGAGTTAAACTCACCACAATTTTTAACCATGCTCTCAACAACGAGAAGAGCATAGTAAGCCGAATGCGGATTAGTACTGGTCAGTTTTTTCTTCAAAGCAGCCAGAGCATATCGCGGCCTGGAAAATATGTGAAGTTGATTAATGCAAATATGGTAATACTACTGCTACTGCTTAATCGAGCGTCAGTACTGAATCTTAACCTCACTCTTTAGTAAACTTAAATTCAAAATTCCACAACAATACCTGCAGTGTTCTCACTACAGTGAATTTTCAAGTGTCACCAAGTCATTAGAAAAATTTAACTCGACGGAGAACATTTTCGCGACATAATTTATTACAGCTTTCAGAGACAATTATCGCAACAAGAATGCCTTGCTGAGTTACTGTCTGTTTTCGGCAACGAAGGGCCACATCAGTCGATAATTTCCCGTTGGTATGGAGAATTAAAACGTGGACGGGTGAGTCTTAGCGACAATCCCAGGGTGGGTGCACCAAAAACGGCAGTCACCCAGGAAAACGTCGATGCTGTGCGCAAACTCATCATTGAAGATAGACATGTGACATATCGCGAGATTGAGGCGTCCTTGAAGATCTCAAAGACCTCAATTCAAAAAATTTTACATGAAAAATTAGGAGTAAGAAAATTAGTTTCTCGTTGGATACCCCACCTGTTGACTGAAGAGCAGAAAGCAGCCAGGGTTAACTGGTGTCAAAAAACGCAAAAAATGTGTACGGCATTGTTAGTGGTGATGAATCGTGGATTTACTGTTATGAACCAGAAAATAAACGACAGTCGGCTGCTTGGGTGTTCCAAGGTGAAGAAAAGCCAACAAAAGTCATCCGTTCTCGAAGTGTTTCGAAAAAGATGGTCGCGACATTTGTGTCAAAAGCGGGTCATATTGCAACAATTCTTCTTAATGAGCAAAAAACTGTTACTTCGGATTGATATACCACCAGTTGTTTGCCAAAAGTCATCACTGAGCTTCGAAAAATCAACCCCGAAAGAAGAATCATCCTCCACCAAGACAACGCAAGCTCGTACACAGCACAGAAAACAAAGCAGTATTTAAAGCAAGAAAACGTGGAATTATTGGAGCATCCTCCATATAGTCCCGATCTAAGTCCAGCGATTTCTTTACTTTCCCGAAAATTAAAAACAGACTGCGTGGTCAAAGGTTCCAGACACCAGAAGAAGCAGTTGACGCATTCAAAAATGCCGTTTTGGATCTGCCAGCAAACGAGTGGAATAAGTGCTTCGAAAATTAGTTCGAGCGCATGCAGATGTGTATTAATCTTCGTGGAGAATACTTCGAAAAACAATAAAGTCATTTAAAACTACATACCGTGTTGTTTTATTTCCATATGCAAAACTTAAAAGACATCCCTCGTAATGATTGCCCTCATCGTACGACTATATTCAGGTGGTAAAGAGAATTCCAATGGGGCTATATCACTCTGGAGGACGCTGAGAGGGAAGGAGGATAGAGGAAAACATTACTGCTGTAAGGATGATGCTTGACGAAGACCGGAGAGTGACATACCAACAGATAGGGGAGACCATACACCTTCATGCACCAGTAATTCGCTTTGCTTTGGAGCGTGTCAACTTCACTCTGTCTACGATTTCTGGGATTCTAACAGTACGGTTTCGCACTGGCGGTTTTTTCTTCATCACATTACCTGTTGTGTTGAATGCTTCCACCCATCGCAAAATGGTGTTACGGTCTGGTGGAACACGAACGTCAGACTCGCCATTTTGAAAGCACCGACGTACAGTGAACACACTATGCTCAACGTTCCAAACCATCTTGCCAACTGAAACGGCACTTCTCTCACTATCCAAAACGCCCTTCCCCACCGACACGGGACCAGCCCACTCGATGTAGTACCCATTCGAAAAACATGCGTTCTTTCTGACGGACCCTGTAGAACCCTTTGTACACTACTCGTCGAAATGAGTGGTACTCCAGACTTCAGTTTTAAAGCTAAAAATGGACCAGTTTGTTCAATGATGGGCCCAAGCCCATGGTGATACTTGATTCAGTGCTGAGCAAAATATATTGATACTATTACCATATGATCTATCGAAATAAGATAGCACCAAATGCTATCTGTTACCAGAATCGCCCGCTACGAAAGCGAAAACAGCAAGCTGTCTGTTGGAACTGTATCCCACTTTGTATTGTCAGCTGAATAATTAATCACCTAAAGTTCTTCCTCCTTTCTCATGCACCTCAAAGCTGCACGTTTACAGATTCCAATCTATTTTAATTGAAGAGCGTTAAAACAAAGTTTGACTATCAGGGGTGCTGACGGCCCAAAGCATGAGTTCAAGTGAGAAAAGTGGTGAGAAAACAATTAAAAATAATGAATTTATACAAGTTATGTACCAGTCTATAGAGAAGAAGATGCTGAACAAGGACTTTTGCCTCCATGTTCCTTTCTTATCAGTTTCAGTATTGTATTTCATTTGTTCTTTACTTTGGTTTGTATAATGCACTTTGCAGTCAGTATCGATTCAGAACTCATTCAATTAACATCGTTGTATTTGGTTGTTCTCAAAAATAAATCTTTTTAAAAACGGTTTTGTTGAAGAAAGATATTTGAGTTACATAAAAAGTGAGTTAATTTTCTGAGAAATTGAATACCATAATGCTAAATTTAAATGGATAATAATAAATAAGAATGTGTGAAAAAAAACGAGAATTACTGATATAAGGTCTTTGCTACTGTTTTATTGACGTAAGCAAAGATAATTATTCATATGTATGAATGTTTCAAGATCAAAGGCACACGATGCATAAAATAAATATAAAAAATGATTTCAATTTACAAGAATAAAGGCATGTTATCAGTTTTTTCAAAAATATTGCGATGGTAATGTATAACAGAATATTGAATATTTCAACTCTAAATTATCTGATAAATGTAACTCAACATGGTTATACAGGGTGGGCCATAAGAGTGTTGGCGATTTAAATCTTAAATTTCTCGGAAAAGCGGGGCGCGGGTTGAGGGGGGGGGGGCAGATAAACTGTTAGCCGCGCCGTTACCTGGAAATTTAGTCGCCATAGAGCCGTATACGGGAGCTTAGCGTGCAGTTTGTGTCCGAGTATATTATGAAAACAATAAATCGGTTTTTACAGCAGGACGTTTGTATCGACGTGAACACGGTTTACGCGATTTGAGAGAAGTTACAAACGTCAATGTGATACGGAAATGGATCAGAATGTTCATTATTGAAGGGAGTCTAATGAATTTATTTATGTATAAGTGAATTATGTATACAGGTTGGTGTATTAATAAAACAAGTTAAAAAAGAAATTCAGCACAATATTAATTTGTCTATATACTTTTTTCCATTACTGTATCTATTTAAAAATAAGTGATTGTTAACAGTTAATGAGTCTACAAGAAACTATACTAAAGTTTTTAACTATATTTATGCTAAGCATAGATCAGCAATATGATATTTGAAAAAGAATGCCTTTTACAATTATGAAAAACTCATTAACCATTTACCAGCAGTTGTGAAATCCTAAAACTAAGTGCAATTAAAAAAATATACAAAATATTACTAACTTTAGAACCATATACAAGATTTTATAATTACTGTTGTTTGGTTGACACTATTTGTATCACAAGTGGTTTAGCTTTTATGTAGCATTTGTATTTGCAAATAAAGATTAATGTTCTTGTAGAACAATGAAATTTCAAACAAAATCTCCACTACAATTTATTGAAATGAAACAGCTGACACAGTGGGGAATTTACAAAGGACAAGCGACAACATACTAGTGAAACAAGTTTGGAAAACTAAGTTACAAGGAAGAAGTTGAAAAGTCAGACCATGAAAGGCCACAGAGGACATGGGAGAAGACAATACAATAGACTATATTGACAAAACGAGGATCAATTGGCAAGAAGCTGAGAAACTTGCTGTAAACAAAAAAATGGACTAGTTTTATATATAAATAGCAGTTTACTTTGTGTTATCTTAGATTAACCCTACACCCTTCAGGATAAATGATTGATTATATATACAGAACTGCCAAAAATAACTGACCATATTTAGTAGATAAAGTAAGAACAACCAAGAACAGAAGAATCGTGATAATGTATAATTATCATAGCATTTATATTTATTAGAGTTGTCAGCATCGACATCAACTCCAAAGGCACTGGCAGCTGTCAATGACCTACAACAAGTCGTTGCCTACAACTACTATTAAATTTACACATAAAATATAAATCATACTTACTGCACATCGTTTTGTCTTATTAAATCGCATATTTGTAATGTAGACACCCAATCGGGGTCCATCAACAGATGACTAGTAGCTTTCTCTACAAAAAAAAGTATTTTCATTGCAATATCAAAATATAAAGAAATACACTTACCGAGAAGTTTATCAAAGTTTCCCGTACGCGCAAACATTTTTGGAATGTGGCTTATGTATCTCCAATTGCGATATTCTTCTTTTGATCAAAATATATTTCACATATATTTTTTCCTTGGTCTTTACTCAATTTGATGAAGAATTTTTGTAAATGTTAATGTTATATGTTCAATGACGGGTGACTCACAAAATTTTAACAGATGATTTTGACAGTAAGCTTCGACGGTGTATTTTCAAACCAACTAGTCGGGTATAAAACGAGCTCATACCCACAAAACATAATAATCAAATCCAAGCGGATAACCAAAATTTCCGTATTACGTACCGCGGTTATAATATGGTTCAAGATGACACACAGGATGGTGACGTCAGTTACTCGAATCGCTTGAACGCGTTGGTTTTAACCGCGGTTTGTTGCAAGTTGTTTATTTTAGAAAAGCCCGTATATAATTTCTGATTATTTTTATTATCACTTAATAATTGGTGCTTTTTCGTCTACAACGGGGTATGGAAAGTTGAAAAAAGGAAACTTTCATAATATTAATGGGAGGAATGTTTTTTGTAGCTATGATAACTTTCAATTCTCTAAACTTTTCCGCATGTCAAAGAAAATATTTATTGATTTAGCAGAAATGATGAAAAAGCGATGAAAAAAAGATATTACAAAACCGTATACAGGTGGACATCATCCAGTGAGTTTATACGGCCATATTTTAATATTCTTGTGGTATATGGCTATACAGGATACTTTTTTAAGTGTAGGAACTAGATTTAAAGTGTCCCCAACAACAGTGATGATTATAAATAATAAGGTGCTCTCTTATGCTAAAACTGAAGTCAGCCTGTATCAAGTTTCCCAAAAATGAAGCTGAAGTACAATAAAAATATCCAATACCCGGCAAAATTCTAACTTGTCACATGTCAAATAATAACCAGAAATATAAAACTCTTCCGGAGTTGGGTAAATACCACAATTTTGCGGTGATAACTATGACATATAACAGCTGATTCGTGACGTCACGGATCTTATAACCAAACTGATAACCACACTCGCTTGAACGGATCGGTAAATACCAATCCAAAATGGTAAATACCATTTCAATTTGGTTATCCGCTTGAATTTGATTAATAAATCAAATCCAAGCGAATAACCAGAATTTCTGTGTTATGTGCCGCGGTTATAATAATCAAATTCAAGCGGATAACCAAATGGAAATGGTATTTACCATTTTGGGTTGGTATTTACCCATCCGTTCAAGCGAGTGTAGTTATCAGTTTGGTTATAAGATCCGTGACGTCACGAATCAGCTGTTATATGTCATAGTTATCACCGCAAAATTGTGGTATTTACCCAAGTCAAGAGTAGTTTTATATTTCTGGTTATTATTTGAAATGTGACAAGTTAGAATTTTGCCGGGTATTGGATATTGTTATTGTTCTTCAGCTTCATTTTTGAGAAAAATGATACAGGCTGACTTCAGTTTTACCATAAAGTGGAGCACCTTATTAGTTATACTCATTACGGTTGTTGGGGACACTTTAAATGTAGTTCCTATGCTTAACAAAGTATCCTGTGTAGCCATATACCACAAGAATATTAAAATATGGCCATATAAACTCACTAGATGATATCCACCTGTATGCGGTTTTGCTAATTTCTTTTTTCATCATTTCTGCTGAATCAATAAATGTTTTCTTTGACATGCGAACAAATTTAGAGAATTGAAAGTTATCATAGCTACAAAGCCATGGTTCCATCATTAAAAAAAATCTGAAAAAACATTTCTCCCATGAATATTATGAAAGTTTTCTTATTTAAACTTTCCATACACCGTTGTAGACAAAAAAGCACCGATTATTAAGTGATAATAAAAATAATCAGAGATTATATACGCACTTTCCTAAAATAAACAACTTGCAACAAAACTGCGGTTAAAACCAACGCGTTCAAGCGATTCGTGTAACTGACGTCATCAACCCGTGTGTCATCTTGAACCATATTAATCAAATCCAAGCGGATAACCAAAATTTCCGTATTATGTACCGCGGTTATAATAATGGTTCAAGATGACACACGGGATGATGACGTCAATTACTGGAATCGCTTGAACGCGTTGGTTTTAACCGCTGTTTTTTGCAAGTTGTTTGTTTTAGAAAAGCGCGTATATAATTTCTGATTATTTTTATTATCACTTAATAATCGGTGCTTTTTCGTCTACAACGGGGTATGGAAAGTTGAAAAAAAGAAAACTTTCATAATATTAATGGGAGGAATGTTTTTTTTTCAGAAAATTTTTTTTATTGATGGAACCATGGCTTTGTAGCTATGATAACTTTCAATTCTCTAAACTTCTCCGCATGTCAAAGAAAATATTTATTGATTTAGCAGAAATGATGAAAAAGCGATGAAAAAAAGATATTAACAAAACCGTATAGAGGTGGACATCATCCAGTGAGTTTATACGGCCATATTTTAATATTCTTGTGATATATGGCTATACAGGATACTTTGTTAAGCGTAGGAACTAGATTTAAAGTATCCACAACAACAGTAATGATTATAAATAATAAGGTGATCTCTTATGCTAAAACTGAAATCAGCCTGTATCAAGTTTCCTAAAAATGAAGCTGAAGTACAATAAAAATATTCAATACCCGGCAAAATTCTAACTTGTCACATGTCAAATAATAACCAGAAATATAAAACTACTCCCGAGTTAGGTGAATACCACAATTTTGCGGTGATAACTATGACATATAACAGCTGATTCATGACGTCATGGATCTGATAACCAAAGTGATAACCACACTCGCTTGAATGGATCGGTAAACACCAATCCAAAATGGTAAATACCATTTCCATTTGGTTATCCGCTTGAATTTGATTTGTTATGTCACAGATTATAGTTGTGTTGTGGTTGTGTTTGTGGCTAGAGCGTTGTTGTTTTTAAATGTGATTTTTGAGTATGCAATAGTTTCTTAGATTTGAGTAAATAATCTGCGATAGAATTATTTTATTATTCTTTATAAGTTATATATCCTGAAATGAAGACTGAACATTCAATAAATCCTGTAGAGGAACCATATAGCAAGAGGAGCATGAGTTCCAGTACAACATGTTCAACATTGAAAAGGTGAGAAATGTAATAATAGTTGATCATAGGAGATCAAGAAACTTCCATATAGTTTTCTTATTGTATGCTACAATGAGGTATCTCTATCTACCATACAAGTGCAAATTTAGGAGCTTCAAAAATAGTAGAGTTCCTCAGTGCTTCTTTTATAAATATGCCATTGTTTAATATGTTCTCCAAGGAGATACTCTGCATCATGTTGTATTTGGATATTCACATACAATTTTAACCATCACAGCCATTTTGCCAGGTAACTAATTCCATTTGAAGTAAAAGGTACAGATTCCACTTTCCTTTTAAAGAACATTGTTTATTCTTAAATGTGACATTAGCCTCCAAAAGAAAATTCACCTTTCAACCTCCTTCATAATTATTCCTAATATTTTATATTCTCATCTCAATGGTAGAGAAGGAAATCCCTTCAGCAACAGTCCAAGAAGTGGCAACACTGGCACCTAGAGATGGTGCTCGACAGTTATAGTAATATTATTTTAGTGTCAAAGATGAACACTGGGATGGAGTTAACCAGGAGAAAATGGAGAATCAGTTAGTAGTTGGGGTTAAATCCGAAAAATCAGAGCCAGAAGCAGAACCAACTGTGAACAACACAAAGTTTGAAAATATGGACACTTTGATGCTAAATGAAGAGTTTGACATCAAATATGAATGTGAAGATGCCATATTTGTTAGGTGGGCAAAATTTTTTTTGGACCTATTCAATTCAAAAAATTCGTTAGAAAAAAATCAGTCATTTATACAGGGCATTCATTAAAAATGTTTCTCCATACTTAATTTTCGAACAGGTCAACTTAGTAGGAGTTTTGGATGACAAAATTAATGCACAAGTATTATAGTTATGTTAGCTCATTAGAAATTTCAATATGGTTGTTGAGTGCCACCTTGAAATATTTTTTGAAGATATTATGCAAAAAACCTACAGAACATCAGAAAAAAAAATGACAAAATGTCGGGTTATTTGTATTGTCCTTTCTAAAGAGAAGTTATGTTCAAAATTATACATCACAATTTTGTTGTTTGATTTTGCTTTTTCAAAAACATTGAGAAGCGTTATGGGAAATTAGCACCACACTTGCGTTGTGTGTAATTAAGCCACATGACAGATAAATTAAGAATGACGCAACACATAAAAAACAATTTTACACTGACTCACATCTAGCTGTCAAATTGTATTTTCGACTTGACATTGCAAAAAAATTTCTATAAAATATAAATGACTAGAAATAAAAAAATATCCTAAAATGTAAGAACTATTATACGTTTTATGAATATTCACAACACACAAATTTAGTGTTAGGTGGGAGAAGTGTAGACGACCTAACTGCCAATGGGAATCTCTTATTCAGAGGTGTGAATACATGGTTATCTGTGAACAAACTAGTGCTGAATAAATCCAATACTGATGCAACATTCTTTGGAACCAAGTGGAGTAAAGTCGTTAAGCCACCATGTATGTATAGATGATCATCAACTGCCGTTGAGTGAAAGTGTAAAATTCTTAGGCATCTATATTGATGAATTTTTAGATTCGACAACACATGTATTCGAACTGCTGAAGAGGCTCAATTCCATTCGCTATGGTTTTAGGGTAATATCAAGATATCTAAATAATATGAGTATGAAAATATTGTACCATGCTAATTTTGAAAGCATTCTAAAGTATGGGATTATGTTTTGGGGGCGCAATAGGTTTATTCAAAAAAATTTTGTTGTTCAAAAAAGAGCAGTACGTCTGCTAAAGTGACTAAATTTCAATGAAACTAGCAAGGGAGTGTTTAAAACTGAAAAAATCATGACTGTGTATGCCATCTATGTGTATGAGTGTCTTATATTTTTTTCAAAAATAAAAATTTATTTGAGCTTGAGGTGAAAACTGTTTATGATACTCGAACAGTCAATGTTACTTATCTGATACACAGATTATCCTCCACAAAAAAAAGCCCTGTTTACATGTGTTTAAAATTATTTAACAATCTACCAAATGAAATTAAAAACATAAACAGTTTACATAAATTTAAAAAGACTATTAAGCAATTTATAGTACAGTCAGAGCCTTATACAATAGATGAGTTCTATGGGATTTGTAATAGTTTAAGATTGTAGCTGTTTTGAGATAAATAACCATGTAACACAAAAAAAAGGTCTCGGGTAAACTACTATAGTTACGGTGATAGTGACAAAACATTTCATTTTGTAGCGGCTATACAATTTCTGTAATGTCATTGTACAATTTGGAATGTAGATTATTATTATTATTATTATTATTATTATTATTATTTTTCCTGTATGTACCATATTTTCTCACTTGTTTGTTTTAATATACTTCACCAACCAGATATTTTCTTTTCTTTTTACTCTTTTTTTGAATTTCAGATAATTTGCATATGTAACTTGTGGGTTGAATAAGAAAAACCAGATGTGCAACTAATTTTTAGCTTTGCATACATCTCAAGTAATTGTATTTGAGACAAGAAACCAATGGAATTATCATCAACATAATAATAATAATAATAATAATAATAATATATATTATTAGCACACAAATCCTTACTATGAATCTATGCACGGCCGTTTTCGTCTAGCTATAGTATACAACTTTCAGCTTAAATCTCCAATAAAGTAGATGTTATATCACATCAGAGCCAAACAGTAATAACTGAAACATCATGATGTTTGAGCAACACATACACAAGTGTTCAAAGTTGATGTCTTGTAGAAAAACCTACATAATATCACAAAAAACCTATATATGTAATGTCAAAGAAACGACTTTTCAAGACGCGTAATACCCATGCCGGATTGCTACCTCGACACAGAAACCAACAAGCTACCGAGGCTCCCGCCATAAGGAGCTACAAAATGAGGCATCAAACATCACATGGCATTAATGCTGCAAGGTGGCGCGCTACCGTTATTTGAATTGTTCCACTGCCACCCTAACAATAATAACAATAACCGTAATCTTTATTTGCAAGTAGAACTGCTATACAACTGCTGAAACCAGTTATGATACAAATAGCGTCAACCAAACATAAGTAATGATAAAATGTTGCTCTGAACCATATGAGTCAAATCTGTCTTAAAAAAGTCATCGATCGTAATTGTTGAGTGATCCTTTTCCAATAACGCTCTGCTCAGGATAAATATAGTTAAAAAAGCTAAAATATAGTATTCATGCATGAAATTCGTCACCCTATTCAAAAAATAGCTGGGAATGGGAACCTTTTTGAAACGTCTTGTAAATTGACGGCCCTGTATTAAAACGCCCTTTTTATTACCATTTTAGAATTAAAGTTGAAGAGAAATTAGAGTCTGGACTTGAAGCTCACTCGACAGCAGATACAGTTAACCAGATGAAAATGGAGTTCCAAGAATCTGAAAAGCTGGAAGAAAAACCAGATTTAAGGAGCACAAATCTTGAAAATATGAACGCGTTAGGGCTACATCACGAATTTGACATCAAAACTGAGAGTGACCAAGATGACAGGCATGATTCGGCGTCCGATAGGTGAGTCTCCTTCAATCCCCAACTCTACGGGATGTCCCAAAATGATGAATGAATTTGTAATATACGAGGTGTGTAATAAAATTTCGTAGGTTTGGAGACTCTGATTGTCAAAAACTTTTTTAATGTAGGTATACACGGTACTGAAGTATGATGAATTTTCAGCTGTTTTCATTACTTTGTCTGTTGCAGCCGCTTAGGTAAGACGTATTTTTATGATATGTATAATTTATTGGTGTTAATCCCCATAATTCAATTCACCAAATTATACCATATTTACAGTGTTCAGTCAGTGATTGTACTTTTAGTTTTAACAAACCCAAGCACAAGCAAACTTTTTTGGGTACTTTGTTTGTTGTGCATAATATTTAGGATTTATCTATACTTTGTGATATACAGGGTGTAAACGTTATGATAGTCATTATTTAAATAAGTAATAGAGGGGGTTAGAAGAAGCAAAAAGTTTCATATAACATGGGGGCCAAAACGGCATTTTTTTAGAGAAAAGCGACTTTAAAGTAAAATAAAATCTGACGCCGCAATGGCAGACGCAAATTACGACGGAACGCAGTGTAAATAAAGATGGAGTTTGTTATTTTTGGCTGTTAGCTATTATTTCATTATTTGATAATGTTCTCTCAGCGCTTCACCTGGTGTGTGAAAGTTTATTCAACATATTAAAAAAATCCACTTATAAATAGGGAACATACTTTTGATGCATGTATTGTTTTTCTTTTTAAAACCCACACTGCACTTTTTTGTATTTAAAGAAGGAGTTCAAAATGTCGTCCTCCACTTTCCACACAAGCTTCATTACGACGAACCTAGTTTCTTCTTACTCTAGGTCTTCGAAGTTGTCCATTTATTATTTCAGTCGCATTTAACATTTTTTCGCGAAGTTGTGCTTCAGTTGTTATTGGACCAGCCCCATAAACCATACCTTTAAGTTCTCGCCAATACTATAAATCCATCGGATTGAGGTCAGGAGATCTTGCTGGCCATTTTCGAGGATCAGGAGCATTTGGACCGATCCAGCGATTTGGATAATGTTTATTCAAATACTGAATGACGCCTCTAAAAATGTGTGGTGGTGCCCCGTCATGAAGAAACCACAAATTCTGTCTCCGTTATAATGGCATGTTGTCTAAGGTCTGTTCCAAAAGTTCTGGTAGGTTATTGGCTAGAAAGCTAAGGTATCCTTCTCCTGACAACTTTGAGGGTAACTCGAAAGGGCCAATTACCTGGTCGTCAAGAATACCCGTCCAAATATTTATTTTAAAACGTTGTTGGAAATGACCTTCACGAATGGTATGATGATTTTCTTGAGCCCACGTGTGAGTATTATGGAAATTTAATATCCCGTCTCGCGTAAAAGTACATTCGTCCGTCGTTAGAATGTTTTTAAAAAAATCCGGATTTTCAATGTTTTTGAGCAAAACCCACTGACAGGATGTTAGTCTGCGAGGATACTCTTCTGGTAACAAGGCCTGCACTCGTTGTACATGGTAGGGATAAAGCAAATGTTCCCGTAGGATTCTATGGACTATGGTATGCGATAGTCCTACGCGGCGGCCTAGTTCCCGAGTGCTGATATCTGCATTGATTTCCACGATATTTAAATGTTGTTCCTCCGGCTCTACAGTAACCTGTCTTTCACGAGTGCGAATATTATTGGGCTGAACACTTTCTGTATTTGCACAAATGTCCTTCTGTCTGGGTGTACCCGTTGGCGATCTCTGTCGCGATACATTTGAGCTGCAAGATTTGAATTCTGACGAGCTTCACCGTAAACTAACAACATGTCGGCGAACTCTTGATTCGAGAACATTGTAAATAAACACGACGACGTACGCGAACAAAAACAAAACAACACGCCCGATGCTCTGCTCGACAAAACGATAGTAGAGTAATGTATCTATGCAAAAAGATAACTAACCACTGTTAGCGTTGGCGATCGATTGCCGGTTCGATATGAGCGCTGACAGACTGACGCGCTGCTGTCATGTGTGTTTTAAATATTTAATGTAATGAAACTTATTTACTTACTGACTACAAATTTTGGCTATTTATTTGTTAATTAACCAATTTAAAAACGTTTTAAATTAGATTATAAAAATTAGTAAGATTGTGGTCGATATAAAACACTTAAAGTTGTAAACTATAAAGCCATTTAGAGAAAAATCTATTCACCTCTGGACCATGGGTCATATGAAGCTTTTGACTTGTTTTGACCCCCCTATTACCATTTCAATAATGACTACCATAACGTTTACACCCATATATATATATATATATATATACACCGTATATAGCGAACCTTGAAAAAATTCATAAACTGTTTTTTTAGGATAGTCCAAAGATCAAAAAGATACATAGAGAAATTTCAAAGATCAAAAATTGAGAATCTGACATTGAAGTGTATAAATAAAAGAAATATACCGATCAAACCGTGCCATTATGGCTGCATGCCTGTCGGAGCAGATGACGATCGACTGAGAGAAGGAGATCATGATTTGTATTCTTTGGCCCACGCTAGTCTGTTTTTCTTCTGAATCTTTATCAATAAGGGCAAAAATAATGTACCCCTACCTTGTAAGTTTTAAATCCAAGTTTTTGGGCAGCTCTCTGGCAAGTTGCTCTTGAAAACTTTTTTGTGGTTGCCTGATTCCATGTGAATATAAAACGACAATCATGAAAACTTTATCTGTACGAGTACGAGTCTTTGGTTCGATCTGTTGTATCAGTCTTTTAATAGTACATATACTTTCATTTGTCTGCTTATTTTGTTCGAAAAAATGGCCCATGTTTACGAAAACAATGTTCAAGAGGACATAATACTAACATATACGGAAAGTGCCAACAAAATGCAGCTGCAGTATCCAGGTCGTATGCGGAAAGGTATCCTTTAAGAAATCATCCGGCCCCACGGATGTTTGTAAATTCAGTTATTAGACTTCGTGACACAGGATATTTAAAAGAAAAACGAGGAGGTCACGCTGGGAAACCAGCTCAACCTGAAATGTTACAAATTGAGGAAGACCTTTTAGAAACGGTCGAAGACGACCCAACAATGAGTCCTAGAGCCATAGCAGCTCAAGTTGAAATTTCTCATAGCAAAGTGTGGAAGGCATTAGGACAGTGTTATCCTTATCACTATCAGCGGGTAAAAGCGTTACAACCTGAAGATCATCCTGGAAGAGTGCCAGTGGCTTTTAGAAATTTATTTAGATTTTCTTGCCACACAATCTGCCACAATTCTTAATTGTTCTTTTAAATGTGAGAGAGAATATTATGTGGTTCCTACATGATTTCGCCTCACGACATTTTAGACGAGATGCTCATGAACATCTAAATAATGAGTTTCCGAATAGATGGATAGGGCGCAATCGGCCCATTTCTCGGACTGCTCACTCCCCGGATTTAACACCTTGCAATTTTTTTCTGTGGGGCTATTTGAAAGAGTTGGTGTATCATGATGGAGCAGTAAATACTCTGGAAGAACTTCAACAGTGCACTTTGAAAATGCTTGTGATTTAATTCGTGGACACCATTTTATTTTCGAATGGTATCCATTTAACTTGATAATGATTTCCTTAAATAATTTTTAATAATACAAACTAACTCTATTACGCAACTTTTATATAGGGGATTTTTGGTACATCAACTTCTTTTGACGAGTTCTACAAGCTGTTAAAATAAATAGCTCAACTTTGAAAACACCCTGTATATCCTCCGAAACCTGTTTAAACTAATATTATTTATAGAAATAGCGTTTAATGCAAACTTCAGGCACTGTCTCGCTATAACTGAATCGATTCTCTTTATCAATTAAAAAACGTAAAGTATAATGAAACTTTTTTTCAGACTACCAATAAAGAAAACGCGGGAAAAGGAACAACGAAATTCACCGATCGAAGAAGGAAAACAGTCGTTCAGCTGCTATATTTGTAACTATACGAGCCACTGTAAAAAGGGTTTGATCGGTCATATCAAAAGGAACAATTGCTATTTAGGATCTAATTTGGGAAAATCACGATCTGTATCCAGAAAACAGTATCAGTATTGTTGTATCAAATGTAATAAGGTGTTCAAAAGCAAAACATCACTAGATAATCATTTGGTTAAAAATCATGTAGGATCTATTGCGTCAGTTTCATCTAAAATACATGAATGCGCATTCTGTGATTATAAAACCGCTTATAAAGGGGATATAACTAGGCATGTGCTAAAGCATACTACTAAACTACGCATATGCAAACATTGTAATACATCATTTAAAACAGAACGATCGCTTTTTGGCCATATTTTAAAGAGACATCCCAACTTTAGCGGGACAGTTTCTAGTAAGATATATGAATGTATGCATTGTCCACATAAACAAATAGCTAGGAGTAGTTTTATAAGGCACCTGGCAAGACATGATACTCAAACGACTTTCAAATGTAATAACTGTGATGCATCATTCAGTACTAAACGACGCTTAGAAAACCACGTCTTACAGAAACATCCTAAATTTGAGTCATCCGTGTCTTGTAAAATACATAAATGTACACATTGTGAATATAAAACTACATTTCCACACTGCTTAGCTAGTCATATGATGAAACATACTGGTGCTAAGCTCAAGTGTACAAAGTGTGATAAGTCATTTACAACTATACGAACATTAGACGATCACATTTTGCGGAAACATCCTGAGTTGACTACTTCTGTATCTCGTAAGATACATAAATGTACCCATTGTGAATATAAAACTATATATAAGGATTATTTAGTTAGCCATATGATGAAACATACTGGATCTAAGCTCAAGTGTACAAAGTGTGATGCGTCATTTACAACCATACAACCATTAGACAATCACATTTGGCGGAAACATCCTGAGTTTACTACTTCTGTATCTCGTAAATTACATAAATGTACACATTGTGAATATAAAACTACAAATAAGGGGTATTTAGTTAGCCATACGATGAAACATACTGGAGCTAAGCTCGAGTGTACAAAGTGTAATGCGTCATTTACAACTACACTAGCATTAGACGATCACATTTTGCGGAAACATCCTGAATTTACTACTTCTGTATCTCGTAAGATACATAAATGTACACATTGTGAATATAAAACTACATATAAGTGGTATTTAGTTAGCCATATGATGAAACATACTGAAGCTAAGCACAAGTGTACAAAGTGTAATGCGTCATTTACAACTACACTATCATTAGACGAGCACATTTTGCGGAAACATCCTGAGTTTACTACTTCTGTATCTAGTAAGATACATAAATGTACACATTGTGAATATAAAACTACATATAAGTGGTATTTAGTTAGCCATATGATGAAACATACTGCCGCTAAGTTCAGGTGTACATTTGCAAGAAAGGAATACTTAGACAACCGCACTTTTGGGAAACAGCCTGAGCTTATCGCTTCTGGGGGCAAATTGAAAAAATCTCTGGATCGTACCAATTTCAATATGTCGAATTATGATAACTATGAATGCTGTAATGTGACATTTGATTGTAAATCGACATTTGATGATCACGTAATAAAAAGTCATGCAGATATCATTCGATGAACTATGAAAAAATATCGTATAAAATACCGATAATGATATCATTCATAAGAATATACTCATACAGGATATCCTGAAAGTTGGGATTTTCATTTTAAGGAATAACTACGTTTGAAATAACAAAGCTAATGTACGGCAAAATAGCAGCGAAAAGGTCAGTAAGAAATTGAAGAAAAATACTCGCTATTCATATTTTCAAGTACTGCCCTGTTACATGTTTGTAAACACTGCTTGACACCGTCGCTGTTCGATTCAAAAACCCGAGCTTGTTTAGTTATGAACTGTGTTCAACCAGACGACTGTTGCACGATAAAAACAGACATACGACTATATGCAGCTCTGAAGGAAAGAAACGTCCAGGACGACGGTGACGTTTTGAGAGCACTCGCGGAGTATCAATAGGATGTTTAAGAGGCTCATATCAAATCGATATCTACGTTATTGCTTTAGGAAAGAATGAGGGTATTACACGGACAGCAAATTAAAAAAATCTCTTGAAGATGGCATTTGATGAGATGAGCGGGGAGATGGGCATGAGCTTCGACAGAAGGAGCACGTATCTATTCATTCAGCCCTACAGACGTACGAACTTTTTTATTTATCAACGATATTTTTATTTCCCGAATTGTTCGCTACAAGTTGTAAATCAGCAAGGAGGCCTCTATGTTGGCAAATAAAGTGATAACGCAGTTAACGCTGTCTTCCTACCCCTTATCCCTAGTCAGCTTAACTGGAGAACTATTTCATATTTGACATTGCGTCGATTTGTGATATTTACGAATGCTGTAATGGGACATTTGATTGTAAATCGACATTTGATGATCACGGAATAAAAAATCATGCGGATATTCGATGAACTACAAAAAGGAAAAAACGTCGTAAAAAATTCTGATAGTTGTAGCATTTATTAGAATACCACACGGTAAATATATGGTATCCAGGAAGCTGGGACTATTGCTTTCAGAAATAACTACATTTAAAATAACAAAGCTAACGTGCGGTAAACTAGCAGCAGCAAAAAAAGAATGACGGAAAGTACTCTTTATTCATTTATGTTATTGTAACGACGATGAAACATTTATATGCCCCACTATTTATGTCTGACTAATTCTTATGTCACCATTGACTGCACTATACTTCTCGCTCTGCTACTCCACCGTAATCCGTACTCTCTGCCCCATCTCCCGGCCGCCGAGTTATATATAGTTCAATTACCACTGCGAGAAAACCACAAAGCGATATCTAGAATGTTGGAGATCACTTCGCGTCGATCGGTTGAGGGTTGAAAGGGGTAGGAGGTTGTAAATGTAGTATTAGTCAGACGTTTTTATCACTCAGAAGTTTCTGATCCCTGTAACAACTGGAAAATTAAATGATAAAAGTCCGATGTATAATGTGCTCATAAATATCTTGGCAATGCGTGCACGGAGCGATGCTGCGTCGTCGTGGAGGCCACTGCCGACTGTGCAATCGGTAACAGATTCCAACTGGTCTGTGGTGGTGTCATCAGTGACACATCGCTACGGGAAGAATATTTATAAATTTTAAGTTATATATTCTGGCAATATTTGGATATCAGGAGTACGTACCATTTTAGTGTTCTGCGATGCTTTTGTAAATGATGACTTTACTGTTTTTATATGTACACATGTATTTTTCTGAATTTTATGATCCTTAAATGTACCCACCCATTTCGCCTAACTTTTAATTTGTGTTGCTCAGTGGTGTTGCAGTTTTTCAGAAATAAGAACCCAGTGTCGTGCCAATTTGTAGTTTCGCTAAAGTTAGTTTTAGGTAAATTTAGTATATTAATTGAATTTATTACCCATTGCTCTGTAAATGGTGTATACTGTTGGGCAATATATGCTTTATTACTATTATTATTATTATCTCTGTCAGAATTGATGAAATCCCATTTCAAAAAGAGTCAGGAGAAAATACGATTTCGGGAAAATTCTTTTTAATTCTGACATTCTGAAAATAATCCGAATTACAAAACTTTCTAAGTGCCACTTTCATAGTTACCTAAATGCACAACTTTACCCCATAACCCTACCTCTTATCGAGGTCCGAGTTTTGAATATCTTTCAAAAATTGATTAACTGCGGACCAACGGGCAAACGAAAAAGTTGAAAAATCTCCATTTTCAACGTTCCAGTCCGTGATAGATTTTGACGTTTCACAGTTTTAAGAACAGTTCAAAACGGAAACCTTTATTATTTTATTATTTATTATACATATTTTTATGGGTGCGGTGTATAGATTACGCTTAAACTATTAAAGTCAATCTAATTCTCACGCATTTAGTAAATAGTTTTTTCATTATCCATTCTCAAATCCCTAGACCTAGGTGATTATTAAAAAATCACAAGAAGTGAAAAATCTGTACAAATGGGACAAAGATTCGGGATGATTTCGGAATTGCACTCCTAAATACACTTTTGAATGCAGACATTTCAATGCCTTCTCGATTGTACATATAGTAGGAAATTACAAGAACTTATAACGCGGCTTCAAACATTAATGATTACTGTAACGGAACCATGTTTTAAAAAAATTATAACCTTTTAGAATTCTTAATTGCGCGAAAGATTCCCTTAATTTTGGGTGTGACAGATAAATTGATTTTTAAAATACTCAAGTCTTTGCCGACTGGATTATCTCCTCCGACTCGTTTCGTATCGAGATAAGACAATCTTAAGTTACCATCTGATGCCATCTAAATATTTTTTATTTAGCTAAAAGGAATCAAAGAGAGAAATCTAGCCAAAAGATATACTATCGGTTTTTCTCCAGTAGATGCTGCCAGCGTTGTTGAGTTGCAGGCATCTGTAATTTGAGAGTGAATGTTGAAATCTGTATAAAAAATAGATACTTATGTTTTTCACCAATAGATGGCAAAAGACACAACACAAGTGACTGAGTCCAGTGTAACTTATGACACAGACAGTGTTACCAAGTCTACCGATTTTGGTCCTAGTCCACCAAACAACCGATTTTAAAGCAAAATCTACCGGAAAGTGGACTTTTTTTCAAATGAATAATTTTTGTTCCCTAAATAAGAGAAATATTTCTGATGCATAGCGTTAAAAAGAATGACAAAAGTACTATTATTATTCGTAATAGACCAGAAATATTTTTATTCTCTTTGCCTGACATTGGTGTGCCACATACGTTGATTCTCCGCATCTGGGAATCACCGAAGATACTCGATGATTTGGCTGCATCGCCTAGGCCTAGCGGCTCGTAGCAAGTCTATGCCTGTATTGTACGATTTGTATGACTTCGTGTACTTAGTAATTCCGAATTCGGTCGATCTCTGCCTCTGAGCTGGAAAAAAGAAGACTATCGACGACTTCCTCTCTGACAAGAGACCTGGAGGCTATCACTGCTTGGGGACGCAACAATCTTGTACAGTTCAATGCTTCCAAATCACAGTACTGTACTTTGACGAACAAAAAGCGTCCTAGCGCTCATCCGGTTTCGATGGATGGCCGAGTTCTGTCAAAGAGCCATTCATTCCGGCTAGTCGGAGTCCAGATCACCGAGGACCTGATTTGGCACGAACACATCTCGTCAATAGCTGCAGCTGCTGGGAAAAAACTAGGCTATTTGTTTAGGGCTAAAAAGTACCTTTCTCCGCATGACCTTCTTACTCTATACAAGGCCCAGATAAGGCCTAGCCTCGAGTATTGCTCACACATTTGAGGTGCTACCCCGACTACATTATTTATGCCCGATGTTGACCAGAAGAGGGCTGTCCGTCTGATCGATGACTCTTCTCTAACAGACAGTCTCGGGACTCTTTCGCACCGGCGGGCCGTCGGCGATCTAGCCCTTTTCTACCGCTACACCAACAGGCTTTGCTCCTCAGAGCTCTCTCTTATGATGCCGCCGCGCGATGTGCCTGTCAGACAGACCCGCCTGACTTTGGCGTCCCATCCTAACCGTGTCGAACTTCGTACATCCAGAACTGGCCGATACGACCGCTCCTTTGTCCCGAGGGTGTCGAGATTGTGGAACAATCTATAAGAGGAAGCTTTTCCCAGTTCTACTAACCTTAGGCAGTTCAAAAATCGTATTAACAAAATTTCTTTGGGATCATCATAGCAGCCGCGGTGTTCCGGCATTTAGGCTTCTGCATGCGCGGCTGCATCGATATATAAAAAAAGTATAAGTATTGCCTGTTATGCAGTTCTTTTTTTTTTCGCATGCGTGTGCCCAACATTATAAGGAAGACTGGAAAGAATTGCCAGATTTCCAAGGCTGACTTAAAAAAGCAATAAAGGGCGCGATTATGCGAAATGCATGGTCTGTGATAAAGATATTAATATCAAAAGTGGAAGAGATGCACTTATAAAACACGCAAATGGGCAATTTCATAAAAAGTGCAAACCATAACAAAACAGCCAAAACTGTTGTCACTTGCAGTTGCAGGTACATCAAAGAAATTAGAAAATGATATTAAAGAAGGTAAAATTAAACAAACTATTTGAGAAGATTTGAGATTATTATAGATTATTTTATTATTTCCAGGAGAAATTCGTTTGAGCGCATTTTTGGCCGAGCATAATTTGCCATTCCTGCTATATAATATGACTGATAAAAATGAATCGGAAGAATTATTATCCAATATAGCTTACACATTTTTTTTATACACCTTTTCTGTTTATTATTAAGAATATTTTATTTTTAGTTAGCTAAAGTGAGATATAAACTGTTTATTTTTGTTTTGTCTTCTCTTTTAGAGTATAGTTTGAGTTAAATAAATTTGTTTTAAGTGAATGCCTTCATTTACTCTTCGGTATTCAAACTACCGAAAAAATTCCAAACAATTCTACCGAAATATCGTCGACTCCACGTGGCAACACTGGTCACAGGTGTTTTGTGTTTGTGGTTTGTGGGTTAGCGGTTGAGCGTTGTTGTTTTTAAAATGTGATTTTTGAGTATGCAGCAAGGGTAGTTTCTTAGATTTGAGGGCTTTGAGTAAATAATCTGCGATAGAATTATTTTATTATTCTTTATATGTTATATATCCTGAAATGAAGACTAAACAGTCAATAAGTCGTGTACAGGAACCATATAGCAAGAGGAGCATGAGTTCCAGTTCAACATGTTCAACATTGAAAAGGTAAGAAATGTAATAATAGTTGATCATAGATCAAGAAACTTCCAAATAGTTTTCTTATTGTATGCTACATTGAGGTGTCCCTATCTACCATACAAGTGCAAATTTAGGAGCTTCGAAAATAGTAGAGTTCCTCAGTACCGTGAAATGGGGTGACGTTGATCTCACGGGGTGAGTTTGATAACTATTTTCAGTCTAGGAATTTATGAATTTCACGCGTTGGATGTCAACTGCTCGAACGCGGTGACACCAACCCGTTGTTCAGTAGCAATAAGCAGAGTGATTGTGTATGGTTTGTTGTGAAATTACTGATGTGTTCGTGCTTAAATTGACCATTAAAAAGGGGTAAGGGTTTTGTCGATAGATTTTGTACCTGTAATAATTTGTCTTCTACTTCCGTACGATTTAAAGAACAACATAGTTTTGTTACACAACCATGTTCATGGGTACCTTGCAAAACTTTAACCTTAATGTGAACCTTATATTGTTGCCAGGTTTCTTCTAAAATTTTAGCTAAGTAACGTGGGGTCATATTGATCACCATATTGAGGTGAGCTTGATTACTCCTCTGGGGTGGCATTGACCACCAAATTTTTATCTTCAAAATGATTGAATACCCCTATGTAATTTATCAAAATAACAATCTATCGCTCTTTACTTTAATGTGTTCTCAAAATATTTTGTTGTTTGGTGCCTTACATATTTGATGGTGATAATCTAGGTGATCAAACTCACCCCCAGTGATCAATCTGACCCCATAAGATAAAATCCACAATAATTTCCCAACCATTTGACGAAACTGACCAGGTATCAATCACATTGTTCGCCAACTAACACAATTATATGTATTTCTGCATTGGAATTTATTTTCTGATCAAAGTCACCCCAAATAAGGTATAAAGCTGATCATGTAGTTTTTGCTTATTTTTGTGCAAAATAAGCTCCTCCGGTAATGAGCAATAATGAAGATAGTTACTTTACAGAATGTATACTAAGTGACATATAAATCCGAACACCCAGTTTAAATGGTTTTATTTTAATAAAATTTTGTATAAGTACTTAATGAAGCATAATAAGTAAATGATAAAAATTTCAAAATGATTGCACTGCTTTAAAGCCATTTGACCTTTAATAATGTGTGGATGCACCCTGATGTGCTACGCATTCTCCAACGTGCCTAGGCATGCTTCTGATCAGGTGGTCAATGTTCTCCTGTGGTATCTCATTCCAGGCAACCACCAACTCCTCTCGAAGTGCTTCAAGAGTCTGAGGAGGACGTTGCAAATTGAGCAATCTCCTACCCATCTTATCCCACAAGTGCTCAATTGGGGATAAGTCGGGAGATCTGGGTGGCCATGGTAACAATGTGACATCATTATGTTAAAAGAAATCTATTGTGACTCTTACAACATGTGGTCAGGCATTATCTTGTTGGAAAGTTGGATCTGCCAGGGTGTCAAGATAGGGTAAAAGATGGGGTTCTAGAACTTCGTGGATATAACGCTGCGCGTTCATGTTACCTCTGAAGAAGATTAAAGGTGACCTGGAACCATAAGCATAGCATAGCACCCCAAACCATAACTCCATCAGTGTGATGAACATGTCTTTCAACAAAATACTGTGGATTCCTCCTTTCACCACGTCGCCTTCTAACCCTGGCACGACCATCGTGCATGCCTAAACAAAATCGAGACTCGTCACTAAAGACAATACTGTTCCATTCCTGATCCCAGAGTGACCGTTGTCTGCACCACTCAAAGCGATTACGTCGGTGTTCTCGAGTTAAAGGGAGGACCCAGTGTGGCCGGTATGAAAACAAGCCAAAACTTCCCATTCGTCGGTAAACACTTCGCATATCAATAGGTCTTCCGTGTTCTGCAAACCATTCATTTGTAATGGACCTGGTAGTGGAGGAACGGTCCCTTAAGGCCAATAATCTTAGGCGGCGATCTTCACGGTCTGTTGTTCTACGGCGGCGTCCAGTGCCCCTTGCTCTTTGCGTACGGCCTTCTCGAAGCCATGCCTGACAACACCTAACCACAGTGTCTACACTTCTTTGCACTCTAATTGCAATTGCCCGAAAAGAAAGTCCAGCTTCCCGAAGTCCCACTATACGGCCCCTATCAAACTCACTAAGTTGACGAAATCGTACAGGTCTCCGTACTCTAGGCATCGTAACCGATCGTAAAGGATGTCAAGAACCAAAATCCGCCAACGTTGATTCTTTACTGCGGCTGAAATATTCATTTTTAGAGCGTTAGTGAATTAAAAAAAAGCAGTATAAAAACCAGAATGTCCAACTGATAAGGCTGAAAATGTTTTCACTTGTTATTTACAGTAAGATAAATACATTCACCAACTTTTATTAAAATAAAACCATTTAAACTGGGTGTTCGGATTTATATGTCATTTAGTATATTTAATTGTATCTGATTTGAAAAAGACATTCCAATATAACGATTGTAAGTGATCAATTTCACCCCATTTCACGGTACTTCTTTTATAAATATGCCATCGTTTAATATGTTCTCCAAGGAGATACCCTGTCTCATGTTGTATTTGGATATTCACATACAATTTTAACCATCACAGCCATTTTGCCAAGTAACTAATTCCATTTGAAGTAATAAAAACAGATTCCACTTTCCTTTTACAGAAAATTGTCTATTCTTAATTGCAACATTAGCCTCCCAAGGCAAGATCACCTTTCAACCTCGTTCATAATTATTCCTAATATTTTATATTCTCTTATCAATGGTAGAGAATCCCTTCAACAACAGTCCAAGAAGTGGCAAAACTGGCGCCTAGAGATGGTGCTCGACAGTTATAGTAATATTATTTTAGTGTCAAAGATGAACACTGGGATGGAGTTAATCAGGTGAAAATGGAGAATCAGTTAGTAGTTGGGGTTAAATCCGAAAAACCAGAAGCAGAACCAACTGTGAACAACACAAAGTTTGAAAATATGGACATTTGGACACTAAATGAAGAGTTTGATATCAAAAATGAATGTGAAAATGCTGTATCTGATAGGTGGGCCTAATTTTGTTTTGGGTCTATTCAATTCAATAAATACCTTTATACAGGGCATTCATTAAAAATGTTTCCCCATACTTAATTTTTGAACAGGTATGTTAGCTTATTATAAATTTCAATATGGTTGTTAGCGCCATCTTGAAATATTTTTTGAAGATTCATTAGGAGCACTTCATGTATATAGAATATAGCTTCAGGCAGTCTGAGCTTAATTTCATATGCATTACAAATTTTTTTCATGTCCCACCACATTTCTGAGGTATGTCAAAAATTGAGTTCAATTTGCTATGGAATCGTAGAGCTATTATGCAAAAAACCTATAGAACATCAAAAAAAAACGACAAATTGTCGGGTTATTTGTGTTGTCCTTTCTAAAAGTTATACATCACAATTTTCTCGTTTGATTTTGCGTTTTTAACAACTTTTAAAAGCATTACAGGAAATTAGCACTGCACTTTTAGCCACATCACAGATAAATAAAGAATAACGCAACACATAAAAAACATTTTCACACTGCCTCACATCTAGGTGTCGAATTGTATTTTCTACTTGACATTGCAAAAAAAAATTCTATAAAATGTAAATGACTGGAAATAAAAATATCGTAAAATGCAAGAACTATTTTACGTTTCATAAATATTCCTGTATGTACCATATTTTCTCACTTGTTTGTTTTAATATACTTCACCAACCAGATATTTTCTTTTCTTGTGACTCTATTTTTGAATTTCGTATAATTTGCATATGTAATTTCCGTGTTTAATAAGAAAAAGTGGATGTGCAACTACTTTTTAGCTTTGCATACATACATGTCAAGTAAGTGTATTTGAGACAAGAAACCAATGGAATTATCATTAACATATATTATTAGCACAAAAATCCACACTATGAACCTATGGACTGCCGTTTCCGTCTAGCTATAGTATACAACTTTCAGCTTAAATCTCCAATAAAGTAGATGTTATATCACATCAGAGCCAAACAGTAATAACTGAAACATCATGATGCAACACGTACACAAGTGTTCAACAGCTAGTGCAAAGTTGATTTCTTGTAGAAAAACCTACATAATATCACAAAAAAGAGACAAAATTTTTCTACATGTGCTTCACGTCAATTCGAGTGGAAAAAATCTAATGAACATGGGTCCGAAAATACTTCCTTATCGAGATAATGATTTTTTATTTTTAAGGTGCTAATGGTGGGAAAACCACAATATTGTTGGAAAATTACTTTTATTTAAGATAAAATTACTAGATACAATAAAAATAACTATTCACAATAGTTGTTCAAAGTGTCCACCTTCATACTGTAAACATAGTCTAGCTGGTTTAGTAATGTAACTGGTGGCTTTCCCAATAACAAGACGATTAATACTTATGTCGTCAGAGACATCAGTAATTTTATGGAGCAGTTCAGGCCTGGTATGTGATTTCTCTGCATACACTAAAGACTTCATATGTCCCCACAAGTTATAATCCAAGGGATTTAAATCGGGCGAGCGGGGTGACCAAGAAACTGCGCCCCCTCGTCCGATCCAATGCCCAGGAAAAGTGTTATTTAAATACTTTTTGCAAAGTTCAATCAAACTGACACAACCACTCCGTCAACAAACAAACAAACACTAATCTATTAATCGGGCAGTACATAGTGAATGTTGACTTTAATTACTGTAAACAGTTGTTTTCATATGAACAGTATTAAATTTTTTGTTAAATAAAAGCAATTTTCCAAGAATATTGTGATTTTCACCCACTAAAAATAAAAAATCGTATCTCGATAAGGAAGCATTTGGAGACCCATGTTCATACGACTTTTTCTACTCGAATTGACCTGAGGAACCCGCAGAAAAATTTTGTCCTTTACCTCGCGGGACACCCTGTATGTAATGTCAAAGAAACGACATAATGGTCACTTTTCAAGACGCGTTATACCCATGCCGGATTGCTACCTCGACACATAAACCAACGAGCTACCGAGGCTCCCACCATAAGGAGCTTCAAAATGAGGCATAAAACATGACATGGCATTAATGCTCTGAAAGAATACTCCAAGGTGGGGCCCTACCGTCATTTGAAATGTTCCACAGCCACCCCAACAATATTAACAATAACCGTAATCTTTATTTGCAAATAGCAATGCTATACAACTGCTGAAACCACTTGTGATACAAATAGCGTCAACCAAACAAAAGTAATGAGAAGATGTTGCTCTGAAGCATATGATTCAAATCTGTCTTGAAAAAGTCATTGATTGTAATTGTTGAGAGGCCCTTTCCAAATAATGCTAACCTATGCTCAGGATAAATATAGTTAAAAAAAGCTATAATATACTATTCATGCATGAAATTCGTCACCCTATTCAAAAAATAGCTGGGAATGGGAACCTTTCTGAATCGTCTTGTAAATTGACTGCCCTGTATTAAAATGTCCTTTTTATTACCATTTTAGAATTAAAGTTGAAGAGAAATTAGAGTCTGGACTTGAAGCTGATTCGAGAGCAGATACAGTTAACCAGATGAAAATGGAGTTCCAAGAATCTGAAAAGCTGGAAGAAAAACCAGATTTAAGGAGCACAAATCTTGAAAATATGGACGCGTTAGGGCTGCATCACGAATTTGACATCAAAACTGAGAGTGACCAAGATGACAGGCATGATTCGGGGTCCGATAGGTGAGTCTCCTTCAATCCCCAACTCTACTGGATGTCCAAAAATGATGAATGAATTTGTAATATACGAGGTGTGTAATAAAATTTCGTAGGTTTGGAGACTCCGATTGTCAAAAACTTCTTTAATGTAGGTATACACGCTACTGAAGTATGATGAATTTTCAGATTTTTTGATTGTTTACTTTGTCTGTCGCAGATGCTTAGGTTAGACGTATTTTTATGATATGTATAATTTATTGGTGTTAATCCCCATAATTCACTTCACCAAATTATACCATAATTACAGTGTTCAGTCAGTTGTTGTACTTTTAGTTGTAACAAACCCAAGCACAAGCAAACTTGTTTAGTTACTTTGTTTGTTGTGCACGATACTTAGTATTTATCTATACTTTGTGATATATATATATATATATATATATATATATATATATATATATATGTTATATCATTTAAATTCAACTTTACTTTTTAAAAAATTTATTTGAGCACAGTAACTTCTGTCCGCTACAAACGTTTACAATTACTTGACTTGAGGGAGTCTAACCGGGTATGAACATAAGTTTACATAAGTGACTGTTACGGTGCCTAGCCGGGTAATGAACAACATGAAATGGGCGGAAGGCCTATTTATACTATTGGTGTGCTTACAAAGCACTTCTAGAAAACAAAGCATAAACAACGGGTTAGCGAGAAGTCGTTATCTGTTGCTGAGCTAGCGTCTGGTGCAACATTGTATGGAATAGTAAGTCCATTGTTGTGAGTGCATATAACATATATATATATTTACATCCAGGTCAATCATTTGCTTCCATCAACATGCACGGCACATTACATCTTGACTCCATGACTATATTGATACCATATATCGGACTCAAAATAGTTAACTCGATTTCTGCCGCTCTAGAAGACCAGAGATGCTTCAATCTTTACAGATTCCTACGCGATTCTTCAGCAGAATCTGTGTTGAGTTTTTGTTCTATGATACCTGGCACCAGATGGCTGCAATTGAATAATGTGTGGATGCAATTTATTACTACCTTTGTAACCAAAAAATATGATTTTAGTTCACAGAAATTCCGCTACGCGGAGGCACAAATATGCTCACTGGAGCTTTGCCTTCATTCCGTAGATTATTTTGGTTCCTCTTCTAAAAATCATTGGCAACGCTGCATGTCGCGTCTATACGTATAACAACATCATCTATCCAGTCGTATCTTGATTCCCAACGTTTTGAGTATGATTTTGCAGCCAGTGAGTTTCTGTTGCCTGTTCAACTTGTTAAATACAAGTAACTTTCTTTGAGACCGAAATGGCTAGCAGTCAAGAAGAGGTAAGTTGTGTTTTTACTACCCACGCCAACTGGTGAGGAATGATTGTTTTTCGATTGATTGATTGATTCAAAATTTCAGGTAATGAAATTCGGGAATAACGAAAAACAAATAGATGGCTTTGTAACAGATCATTATCTCCAAGTGAGGACAAGAGTGGAAATGATACTCGACAAGAAAAGGTTAGTTTCAACAATGACTAGATTCTTGTAAGTCTTAATAGTCCTTTGGCCCACGGGGAGAGAATATTTTGTGACAACCTAGCCTTCAAGATTTTATAAAACTTTTTCTTTACGTTGATTGAGACAAATATTCAATAGCGACAATTTCTTATACTAGGCGTTGTACTTCCCATGACAATTTTCAGAAAGGTTCGAAATCGAAATATCTTTTTTTAATATTTCGTGACACACAATCCCAAAAATCCATGCTACTCATGTCTGCCAGTCTGCCTGCAAATCTTTGGCACCTCCATATGGATTTTTTTAGACACAAGATTGCTCCTAAGAGGAGTATGAAAAAGTTTTGAATTTTTTAAAACAAAAAAAAAATACAAAAAATGCTTAAGCTTTTTGCTGTACGTTTCAGTCCCCTAATCATTTTTCAAAATCTCTGGATGGCTCAAAATTGAGGGATAAGGTGGGAGAATTTTTTTGCGTTCGTGAAGAATCACCCATAAAACTTTACAGCAATGGTCGTTAATCTTTTATCCGAATTTCCCTTCAAAAATCGCATTAGTCATAGTTTTTCATAAGCTATAGACAGTGGCGGATTTAGCTTGCTTTTGTAATCTAACACCACTGTGTTACTTTCTGACACATCATGGCGACAGAAGCATACTAACTGTAAGTTATAGCTATATGAACTGAGCATTGCGATTTTTTGGTATCCTTTGGTATTCCAAATGCTGGCCCTGTTTGAAATCACTTGTTTACAGCACAATTCTTACGATTTATACGTATGTACGAGTATTGTGACTTGTGACAAATCTAAGTCTGGGTACCTAATATATCAGCTGTACAGATTGCACTTAAAAGGTAATTTATGTTCTGTTTGAAGTTTGGGTTTGAGCTCATGAGATATTTTACTATTTAGTACTTTTTTGTCTATTTTTATAGCCTCATCCATGTACTTTTTATTTCAATATGCGTGAAAACGGTTAGGTTATAAAAATTACCAAAAAGTCCACCAAATATTAATCCTGCGAATTTGCCATTTGTTATACTTTTTTACTTCTCGCGCCAATTGGCGGGGAAGTATTTGTAATTGCGAAACATTTCTAAATCAAGATAATACTTTTTTAATGTTTCACGACATGTATGTTCGTTGTTAGCAATATATGGCATAATGTGGTGTGGCAAAATACCGTGACGGCTCGACAACTATTTGGGAATACTTTTCAGAAATGCTTCAAATGAGGGTTGTAGGATTATGCCTCATCTATCGGTCGTTGACCTTGGTTTTTACCTTGACTTTGACCTTGAAGGTTAAAAAAATTTCAAATAATGTAAAGACCTATTATTGATTCGAGTAATGATACTCGCGGAACATTTTAAATTCAAGCATCACCTTGAGCGATCCTTATATTTCACATTGAGTGATCTTCAACGTCAAATCGCCACTAATGGGTAACTCTTCGGGACTTCATTTTAGGGTGAAATACTTCAAATAAAAGTTGTAGGATTAATCCTCAGCTATCAGAAGATGACCTTGGATTCTTCTTTGACCTTGAAGGTCATTTAAAGGTAGAGTTTTAAACGTAGATCCTCATTTTTGACTCCTGCAATGAAATGAGCGAAAAATATTACGTTTAGATATGTTCTGGGGTGACGCTCATATTTCACCTTGAATGACCTCCGGGCTACTAAGGCAAGAATGATAGTCCCGGCCAACTAAGGCAAGGTTAAGAGCCCTGGCCATATGGTAGTAGTTTTACGTTGAGAGATCACTGTTTTCCAAACTACTATGTTCTTTAATTTTACACTTGATATGACTAGGACTATATGATTCACCAATACATAATTTCAATTTTTTAATCATCGCTTGTTTCAGGAAACGGAGAATGAACCGCCATTGATTTGTGCTGCTGGTGAAGGTGAATCTGCAGAGCCCTCTACACTCGCAGCATCGAAGAAATATAGACGCCAGACCAATATGTGTTATTTCTGTGAAACGGACGTACAAAAGTTCAGGAAATATTTTCACATCAAAAGAATTCTGTAGAAAGGAGAAAATTACTTGCACTTTTGAAGAAAAAAGTCAAATTCATAAAAAATTCAGAAGAGTGCGTCAAACCTGTGAAGAAGGCTCGTTCACCAAGTGCATCTTTTCTTCCGTGCGGAAATTGTCTTGGATTCTACAGATCAAAGTTTTTATACAGACACAAAAAAAAGTGCTTGGAAGGTCAGTCAGCAAAAATGCTCAAACTGAAACGCAGAATCTTCTCGTAAAAAATAAAAGAATTGACCAAAGATTGAAAGTCGAAGTCTTTCCCAGAATGAGAGCAGACAAAATATCTCGTGAGGCAAAAAATTATTATCTTATTTGTGCCTATGGTGCTAGATATTTGAAAACCCATAGAGAAAAGCATTTTATTAATGTAATGAGTAGAAACATGAGAGAGCTTTCCAGAATATTACTAGAATTGAAAAAACTAGAGCCAACAATACACAATCTGTTTGATGGCCTGAAACCGAAGCACTATGACCAACTAGTTGAAGCTACAAAATCAGTAGCAAACTACGATACTGTTAATGACACATTTGATTCTCCCACATTTGCCATGAATATAAGTACCGCACTGAAACAGTGTTGTGACATTGCAATACACATGGTTATAAAAAATGAACCATCAGTTGAAACAGCTAGCCTCAAAACGATGATTAATTTACTTCAATCGAATTGGAGATTTGATGTCTGTGGCCGCGCTGGCAATGATTTGAACTTGATAAAATTCAATAAAGCGACTATTGTGCCATTAGCAACAGACCTTAGGCTTTTAAAAAACTACTTGTTGTTGAAAGCAGGAGAGGCAGTGAACAGGTTGGCTAGAAATGCTGCTGATGCGAACGCTTACAATACTCTGTTGGAGACAGTATATTTCAGGGTAATACTACTGAATAGAAAAAGACCAGGTGAACTGCAAAGGATGTTTCTTCGCACTTATGAGAGTTCTGAAATTAAAAGTGGCGAATATGAAGAATTTGAAGAAGTCATAACCGAGGTGGAAAAACTACTGATAAAAAATCTGAAAAGAGTTGTGATACGAGGTAAAAGAGGCCGTGGCGTACCGGTATTGTTCAGCAACGATGTACAGCTTCATGTCAAAGAATTACTAAAAGTGGGGAATGATTTTGTCCCAAAAGAAAATCCTTACTTTTTTGGCAAACCACGGCTCACCGGGCCAATTCAGGGATATAAAGTAATGGCAAAATATGCTCATGCTTGTGAAGTAAAAAATCCTCAAGCAATTACTTGTACCAGGCTTAGAAAACACCTTGCAACATTGAGTCAACTATTTAGTTTAAACGAAAATGAAATCGAACAGTTGTCCAATTTCATGGGACATACACCTGGGGTACATAAAGACGCATATAGGCTACCCGACGATTTGTACCAGACCGCGAAAATTTCAAAATTGCTAATTCTGATGGAAAATGGAGAAGCTGGTGAAAATAAAGAAAAATGATTAGAGGAAATAACAGTGGACTTAGAAGAAGATCTATTAGAGGAGAACGGGTGTGATGACGAGGATGGAGAAAATATGGAAAAGGAAGAAGAGGATCAGGAAAAAAGAAAGAAATAAGATAAATGTTATCTAATAAAACAGTAGTGTCAGAGCAAAAAGGAAAGAAAACGGAATTACCTGTAGCTGTCAATAAGAAAAAGCGTATTCTTACACCATGGCCTAGTGAACAGAAGGAAGCAGTAACATTCTTCTTTAATAAGAACATAAAGATGAAAAAATCTCCAAAAAGAAAGGACTGTGAAGAAATTAAAAGTTTATACCCCGAGTTGCTAGCCAATAAAGACTCCCTAAAGATTAAAGTTTTTATACAAAATGTGTATTCAAAAAAAAAGCAAATAAGTTGTAAAATTTGAATGTGAATGAAAATAAAGAAATCAAGCTCACTTGAGTTTATTTATTTTGACCGCTAGTTGTGCCTAGACTGCTATCAGAGGGTATCATCAGTAAATGTGTGTATTTCTTGTCATAGTTTATGGAAATATTTATTATAAACGTTCATACCACCTTGCGTTGCACTGCTATTTGATAACTTTTTCTTTTACTTCTTTTTTCTCCTGGTCCTCTTTTTCATCCTCCCTCTTTTCGACATGCTCATTATCAGATATGTTCTGCCCCAAAAGAGCTTGTACTAAATTCACTGTTATTTCTTCTAATTATTTTCCTTTGTTTCCGTTAGCTTATCCCTTGTCCATCAGAATTAGCAATTCAGACATTGATGCATAGGGGCTGCGATTTACATCTCCATCTACCCCTAGTATATGCCCCATAAAATTGGACATCTCTCAGATTTCACTTCCGTTAAATTAAATAGTTGACTCAATTTTGATAATAATAATAAACGTCTTTATTATTTAGATTCTGTACAACTGGCGAATTCATGATACGAGTTGTTTTATAAGCCTGGTATAAGTTTGCTTCACAATTGATAGGTGTTTTGCAATTACTTCCAAAATACCGGGAGACCCGTTAGAAATTCATTGGCAGCTCTCCCCCTTTTTTCAGTTCAAAAGTATTCCACTACGAGATATTGTAAGCATTAACATTATAAGCATGTTTAGCCGATATGTTGAGGTGTGCGGCTAGTGGCACAATGGTTATCATATTATTTTCTTCCAAATCTATGTTACCATTACTGCGGCTATATCGTCAAATCTCCACATTGACTGTAATAAGGTATTCATTGTCTTGGGCCTAGGTTGATACAAAGTTGTAGACTGATGGCTCATTTCATATAACTTCATGTAACTGCGTGTCAAATGTGCCTCTACCGATTTTCTTATAAATTTCGGTTTGATTTTACTTCTTTCAGTATTATTTATACATTCTTCACGTTGGTAGCGCCTTTCTCTGTGAGATATAATCTAAATAATCTTTTTCTTCAAGAAATATTGTGTCTAAAAAGTCATAGTACAATTTGACATATAATAATATCTATTTACCAATAACTTACATGTCAGATACAAACCAAGTTAATAATTAAGCTGAACTGGAAGATGGTAAATTTCGCAACACTGTCGGAAGCAAATTAACCATTGCTACGTTAAATATACAACTTATGGAACCGAAATAGTTCTACTTACGTACAGATTTATACTGATGGTAGTAATTTAGATTGTCATATAGAGGGAATCAAAATATTTAATTCGCGAAAAAAGTGTATACAGTGTATATTGGTGCCTTCATAATACGAACAATAAAAAGTATATCGGTATAAGCAGAATTCAATGAGGAACCTATATACACATCAAAATGTATGCTAGCGCAATTCCTAACGGTGGACGCAGAATGCTTTGTCTTTGAAAGGAAGCAGTATGGTCTTAAGATGTAAATATATATATATATATATATATATATATATATATATATATATACAGGGTGACTTCGAAGTTGAGTCATTTATTTTAACAGTGAGTAGATCTGATCAAAAGAAATGTTTTTTTCCTTTACCATTTTTCTGGTAAAATTAAAGTAACAAAGCTATAGCCCTTTGGAAGTTTGAGTACCGCCCTGTCTCAATGTGCTCGTGTTTGGCGACAACGGATATAATCCGTCGTATCGGTTCATCGCATCGGAAACAAAAAAGCGAAAGAATTTGGAACGAATTATTTCATTCATTTGTATACAGTAAGTGTCAGTGAATAGTTTTATCTGTTGCGTGGCTCAAACGAAATAAAAAATGGCACATGTTTATGCGGATCGGTTTCCCAATCGAGTGCAACCAACCCCTCGTGCCTTTGTTAAGTAGTACAACGGGCTCGTGAATCAGGTGACTTAAGACCTCACAGGGGACCTCACGATCAAATACAGGTCCGCACTGAAATACTTGTCGGGAGGATACTTTATAAAACAAGGTAAAAATTTTTTTTTAATTTTTTTTTTATTTTTACACACATATTTTGGTTTATATTCCTTCTACAATCATTATCTGAAAATTAATGACTCAACTTCAAAGTCCCTGTATATATATATATATATATAGGTGAAAAATTAAAGCTTCCGCCTTTTGTTGGGTACTTCGACAAAATTTAAGCAAAGAGGGCTCTTTATACTTTTTTAATTCTCTCTAGCTTTCAATGGACTTTGCCATCATCATCAGGAGAGTAGTATGTGAGGATGTTGCTAATTGTTGTTTACGTATAGGATGAGGGAAACGTCCAGTAACATGGTGAGAGCTGGATAGATGGTACAATGGTCAAATTATATAAAATATGACAAGAACAAGTTAAAAACAGATTAAAAATTAATAATTTAGACAATGACCACGTCTCAAGTTATATAATTAATCAAATATAGATAGTATAGATCACATCAGTCATTTAGATCGCTATAAATACCTGAATATCTCACACAAGACTTGAAGATAATTTAAAGCAGTAGCATTCACTTCGATATCGGAAAGAATCGCGTCCGTGGAACTGTTGGTGGTGTACTCTGGAGCCGCAGAGTGGTTTTTAACCATTTTGACCCATATATTCTGTGACATTTGTGTCAGAAATTGTAAAAGTCGCACGAGTCAGTATCCGCAGGGCGCTAAGAACAAAGCAGTAGGCTGAAGGCAAGAAAAAGAACATTATAGAAGAAAAAACAGTACCGCATTTGATATGAGTCAAGGTGTAAGAAAGAAAAATAAAAATCAACATCATTCAGAAGGAGAGGAAGAAAAGGAAAAAGATGGAAAAGCAATACAATGTAACAGTAATAAGGAGGAGGTATTATTAAATGACATAATAAAAGCAAAAGAACAAATCATCCTATCCAAAGATGAAATAATTCTGGCAAAAGACATAATAATAAAGGAGCTATACGAAAAAATGTCCTTACTGTATGAAAAAATTGCAACAATCAGTTGCAGAACCAATGGTAAGATAGAAGAAAACGCTGATCAAGATACTTGTATCAACAGAATAGAAGCTTTGAAACCGTCATATAGTTCAGTGGTGAAAAAGGGAAATACAAGTTCTAACAGCATTATTATAAAACCAAAAGAAGTACAACAAGTCATGCAAACAAAAAAAGATATTCTGAAAGTTTTAAAACCTGCTGAGTTGAATGTGAAACTTACAGGTGTAAAACAATCCGAAAATGGAACATTAAAAATTTCGTGTGCAGATGAAGGTGGTGTTCAGAAAATAAATGAGGTAATCAATAAACAACTGAGCAGCTCGTACAGTGTGAACATCGTAAGTAATCAACAAAAACCTAAGATTAAGATAGTAGGTATAGAACAGATGTTTGAAAATACAGAACTTGTTAACATTATAAAACAAGAGAACATGTTTATTGACAGGGATGCATATATAAATGTAGTTAAAACAAAGCAAATGAAAACACGATATTTTGCCATTATAGAATGTGACCCCAAAACATTTCATAGTATCATGGAAAACGGAATATTATGTATTAATTTAACGATATGCTCAGTATATGAACACATTAATTTGTTAAGATGCTACAATATGCACGAAATCAAATATATCTTGCCCAAATTGCTTGGAGCTTAATAATAAATTTAAGTTAAATTTAAAGATTGATCATTCTGCTTTTGACAAAGTAAATTGCACAGTAATGAGGAAGAAGCTTGAAACAGCAAGAAGCAACATAAATTACTCTATATAGCAATCAAAGGACAAGTCAGAAAATTCATCGAAGAGTCCAATCATTGCTCACAGTGAAGGCGTCACGAAAAATTGTAGTACGCTAAACGTAGCACATGTGAATATTCGATCACTTATTCCTAGCTTTGATATGTTTTCAGACGTTATACTAGAGCAGAGCCTTCATATTATAGCACTAACAGAGACTTGGCTTACACATGATTTTCCTTCGGATTTAATTACCCTGCCAAATTACCAGCTGATTAGAAATGACAGAGAAGAAAGAGGAGGTGGAGTATGTTTTTACATCCAGACCAACATAAAATTTAAAGTCGTAAATTGTAACAACATTTCTTCAAATGCCATTGAACAAATGTGGTTATCGCTAAAACTAAATAATAAGACCATTGCGATAGGTGTTATCTATAGACCGCCATCTATTGCATTAAGTCTACTTTCTAGCCTTGAGAATAACCTTGCTTCTATATTCATTACCCATGATGAAGTTATACTGATGGGCGATGTGAATATTGACCTCACCGATAAGTCTTCCAATCCTAGTAAACAATTTTTTCAAACCATGGCATTATTCAATCTCGTTCAGATTATTAATGAACCCACAAGAATAACCAAGAATTCAGCTACAATGATTGATGTAATTTTTGTATCAAATACATTGCATGTGCGTAAGAGTGGCACTATAGGCATGGGATATATAACTGATCACAGGTTATGTTTCTGTGAATTGAAGATTGAAATTCCAGAATACACTCCTACAACATTTTATTGTCGTGACTTTTCCCACTTTAATTATGATGAATTTGCTAAGGATGCAACTGCTGTGAACTGGCATGATATAAATAATCTACAAAGTCTTGATGATAAAGTCCTCCATCTTACTGAGAAGATTACCTTGCTGTATGACATACATGCTCTGATGAAAAGAATTACACCTCATAAGTTCTACAGGCCATACATCACCTATACAATGAAATGTATAATAAATTTAAAACGAAAAGCTTACAATAAATTTAAAAGAACTAGATCTGAAACAGATCGATTGTTTTATAACGATCTTAGAAATTACTCAGGTGTGGCTTTAAGGAATGAAAAAACAGCTTATATAAAATATCAACTAAATAAGAACAGGAATAATCCCAAGCAACTATGGAAAGACTTCGCTAAATGGAATATTCATAAAAAAT